ATTGAGGTGCTAGGCTTTCACATGACTGACCGTAGTTCCAGTCTTGGACCCAGTGCCTTGAAAATCACTATGGGTACATATATATGCATGCCCAGAATTCCAGGAGGAGAAAAAAGGAGAAGGGATTGCAACATGGGGGCAGTGTGATTTCTCACTTTCTCTTTCACTATGTCTCTCTGTCTCTCTCCAGTGAGTTCACCACCTTATGGCAAAAATATTAAAAAAAAAAAAAGGCATTTGAAAAGTATCTGTGAACTCACATTGTATGTGCCTAAAGGAGATTCCCTAGAATACTCCTGCATATTGTATACCTGTCCCCTTTGGAGGGTTTAAGATGCATCTTAACATGTTAAAGATACTGGGAAGCCTTACATTAAGAAATGTGTTGGGTCTGCCCTGTGGCCTAATGGTTAAGGGAGCCAGATCCCACATGACTGACTGTGTGGTTCAAGTCTCAGCTCTGGCTTGAAAAATACACTGGGTACATGCTCATGCTTGCTCAAAATCTGGACAGGATGGAGGGAGAGAGGAGAGGGGATTGCAGAGTGACCATTCTCCTTTGCGGTGTGCTTTTTCTCTCTCTTTCTCTCTCTCTGTTTCTATGTGGCAAGAGCATGTGCCCTCTTGCAATTACAAAAAAGAAAGAAAGAAAGAAAGAAAGAAAGAAAGAAAGAAGAAAAGAAAGAAAGAAACTTAACTTTGTATAATTTGAATTCCTTAAAGTTACTTGAATTCCTCAACTTTCAATCCATCCTCCCTTTCCCATCCCGAATCCCAATTAACAGGCATGTTTGGGACACTGTTGTCTGTATACCATCCCTGCCCACTTTTTCTTCTCTGACTTCTCTGCATCTGATCCTAAAACACGAAACCTGAGCCCAGTGATTCTGAAGCTTCCAGGAGTGATCTGGCAGTATTGCCTTAGATAACATTCTAGAAAGAGTAGCTTAGTACTTAAAAATCACTTGGCTATGATAATGTTTGAGTTTAACGTAATACTCATTATTAAAGCATTTGGTATATGTAAAGAAATCAAACTAGGTGCCTAGAATAATATCTCCCATATGTATAAGCCCCTGTGGCCTCCCTGGGTATTTCCCTCTGCTTCGTCTCAGATGGCCTTAGGCTAAGCCCATGCACTAAGCAGAGCAAATACGATAATCCCTGTCTGGGGAAAAGTGACTTCTGTTCAGTGGTGGTTGGAATAAGACCATCTGACCAATTAGCAGATGAGATTCGGTCTCTGAATTTCTAAGTCCTAAGTTCAGTCATTTCTTTTTCCACAGTTGCTTTTTAGCCAGCTTTTACAGAATACTTGACTTTCTGCTAATTCCTTCAACTTTCCCCTTTCGTTTCATTCACTCGTTTATACCTACTGTGTCAGATACAATGCTGTCATGGTGAATGTTCGAAAATTATTCTGGGGCAACCCTACAGTGCAGTGGTTAATCACTCCTCTAACGTAAGGGAAGAAGCCAGATCCCACAAGGCCAGCTGGGGTTCGAATCTCAGCCGTGGTGGCAACGCACCAGGCACACATGCCTGTGGGCAAGATGTTGATGGGGTAGAGAATTGGAGGAAGAAGGGTTGCAATATGACCAGGCCCTGTTGGGGGTGGTTCCTGTCGCTCTCCCTCCCCACCCTTCTCACTTGCTCTGTAGTTTGCACGCAGGCACTCTATCCTGAATAAAGGAAAACAAATAAAAATCAGGAGTCGTTTTTGCCCAGAGATGTTCCTAGGTTAGTGGGAGACAAGGGAGTGACAAGCACTGGTACCTGACATAAATTGCAACAAACGTTGGAGGGTACACATGAAAGAATGACAAATGTGATGTCCTTTTGGAGAAGTCACCACAGTAAGGCTTCGTCTAAACTGGGCCATAAAGGATCAGCAGGATTCCTGCAGACAAAAAAGTGCGGCAGGTCAGGGAGAGGTCATGCGAGGACTCAGAGGCGTGGGAGAGCCGAGAGTGTAGGAGAGGACTGAGTGGTAGGGAAGAGCAGCTAGCAGGCTAGCAGGGCACAGTGGATCCGAACCCGTGTTTCACAACAAGATGAGAATGGAGAAGTAGGAATTGGGGCATGACCGCCCATGGCATTGCCCTGGGGGTGATTTATCATTTTCTCTCTAGTGAATGCACATGACTTAATGGCAAGCACCCACATGCGCCTGGTGTTAGTTTCAAGCTGCCAGATCCGGAACTAAAATGGTGGTCGGCCACGTGGGAATCCAGAGCCTTAACTAACTCCATGCCATCTGCTGGCCTCAGGTGTCTATTTTTATGTAATTAAGGCAAGGTGGATATTGTGGAGATAAATTGCAGGTCTTGGAAGGAGATAGTTTTTAGTTAAGACTGCAACTTTGGGGCCCAGCAGGTGGCATGGTGGTTAAGGCAGTAGACTCCCACATGGCTAAATGCAATTGGAGTCCCAGACCCAGTGGCTTGAAACTCATGCCAGGCACATGTGCATGTGTGCCCAAAATCCCAGGAGGAGAATGGAGAAGGGATTGTAGTATGACCGTTCCCCCCATGCAGGATGATTTCTCACTTTCTCTCTATCTGTGTTTCTCCAGTGAGTGCACACACCCTATAGCAAAAAATCTTTTTTTTTTTTTTTTTTTTTTTTGGTTAAAGTCCAACTTTGGATGGTTACTCTTGGCAACCTGGATAGTCCCTGGAATAGTCTGTTACGATCCTTATCTAAATAAGCAAAGGCCTTTTTTTTGAAGGGTTATTTATTTAATTTTATATTCTTTCAATTTGTTATAGTGTATGTATGATCAACAGAGACAGAAAAAGAGAGAGAGAGAGATAGGGAAAGTAAGAAAGCAAGCTGCCAGGTCTGGGACTTGAACCGCAGTCTATGTGGGAGTCTAGCACCCCAATCACCACACCACCTGCTGGCCCCACAAAAGCCTGTTTAACATTTGAACTGTTCCAGTCTTTTTGCCCAGATGTGGCCTGTGTTAAGCACCACCCTGGCAAGTCTCTGGGGGTCAGTGCTCATGCACAGCAGCCACCAGAGCTCAGCCATCTCCCCACAGAGCAGCTGCTTTCCTGCATTCCTTCTTACCGAATTATGGAAGTTGTGCAACTCTTACTTTGGCTGTCCCTGTGGTTTTTAAAAGTTAACACTTGAATGCCTTTAAACAGATAAACATTGTTCAGTTTATTAAGGCCACCAAAATTCCCTATCGTGTCCTGGTTTGGTACATCCATTTGTGTTTTCTGCCTAGTTCGACAGACGTTGAGATTCATTAGGAAATGGAATGAACCTCACAGCGTGGAGGAATGTATTAGATCTGGTGGTAGCACTACTCCGAATGACAACAGAATTCAGAATGAAATGGGGCACTTATGGACCCCGTTTAAAATGGCCTGTTTCAAAAAGTAGTTTTCCCCTATAACATGTACTTCTAGGAATTGCTTTAGTCTGGGGAGTGTGTGTGTGTGTGTGTGTGTGTGTGTGTGTGTGTATATGTGTGTGTGTGTATGTATACACAGCCATGCCTCACTTAATGACCTATCTGTTTAATGACCCTTGGGCTTATGACCAATTTTCCAGTGCAGGGAATTCCCTTTCTCGATCTGTGAGTCTCGGGAACCCCCTTTCTCAGTCTTAGTTTTGTTCCCATGGTCAGTTAGTGTTCACTACACAAAGTGTTCACAGTCATGCAAAACTGTATTTCTTTATAAATGTGTATTTTATTGTGCACCCATAATAGTATGCAGGATAAATAAAAACAATTATGCTGGATATATATTTTTTTTGAGAGGTTTTTGCTATAGGGCATGTGCGCTCGCCAGAAAGACAGAGACAGACAGAGAGACAGAAAGTGAGAAATGATCCCCCAGGGGGATGGCCACGCTGCAATCCCTTCTCCTCCATTCTCCTCTCGGAATCTTGGGCACGCACGCACACGCGCCCGGCATGAGTTTAAGCCACCAGGTCCGGGACTCAAACCGTGGTTGACTCCATGGGAGTCCAGTGACATAGCCATTATGCCAACTGATGGTCCCATGGCTATACATCATTTTATGGTGTGTCTCATTGCTTTCTGTGCTTATCTAATGTATGCTTTCCTTATAGATAGAATTACATTATTCTACTGTGTTGTTCCATTATATGTATTGAAAAATACCTACCTTATGGCACCACCACACACCACAGGACATCCACCTTTAAGCTCCTCGCTTATCGAACAATTTGGTTAGCAACCTAGTGTAGGTATGAAACTTAATCATTAAGTGAGGGGTGCCTTTATATATTTATTTTTCTTTTTAAGTTTATTTCTTCTGAGAGGGGTAGGGGAGAGAGACAGGCAGGCACACACCCCCAACCCCAGAGGGCCTTCATGCCAGGATCCATTCCCGGCCTCAGCCAGCCCAGGTCAGAGATGCACACCTGTGTGTGCCTGGCGTGTGCAGGGAGACCTGGATGTGAACCTGGGGCTCTCCCATGTGGGTCCAACATCACGGAGCATTGTGTTAGGGCTACACCTGGTGGCTGACCCCTTGTATACATATTTGATCACATACTTCATGTTTCTTGGAATATATATGGCAGATGCTACTTCTTACTATTTAATTGACAGTAACTTTCAGGAGACATTTATGAGGGACATAGTTATTATCAAACTCTTTTAGATTTTGTTTAGTAAGCAATAAGACAATAAAATAGCTTGAGCCTTTCTCATTTTGAATGCTTGTTGAATATGACCTTTTGTACATAAATATGTTTGTATTATGTATGAGCTGCCACTGGTACCTCTTCACTGTAATTCACCTCTGGTTTTGCCAGTACACAATCTCTCTTGCTTTGGGAGTACTGCATCTTTTTCGTTCTTTATGAGCTTTGTATTATTTATACTGTAAAAGACTTGGGTGTGTTAACTGTTAGGGTAGAATTTTTATTAGAAGAAATTAGAGATTTCCAGAGTTCATTATAAAAGAAATTTTTTTCTTTTGTACTAAGTCATTTTTTATATGTTGTTTCAGTTGCTGTTACTATGGCAATGACGGCAGGGACCACGACAACCTTTCCTATGAGCAACCATACTCGGGAGAGAGTGACTGTAGCCAAGCTCACCTTGGAGAATTTTTACAGCAACCTAATTTTGCAGCATGAAGAAAGAGAAACCAGGTATCATAAAGACTAGTTGAGATTTGGTTTGGTTAAATAAGCGGTTGTGCTGCAGGTGGGGTATAAACATATTTCCCATTAATAGTACAAGTGTCGATCCTGCACGCTGGTTGTTTCCTGCCCGGACAGTGACCTAGTTACTCGTTTCATGTTCACAGTGTCCTTTCCTTAGTAACCACTCTTAGGTACCCATCTGCTTACATCATCAGCAAACCTTTTTTTTTTTTTTTTGGAGAGATTTTCGCTATAGGGCGCGTGCGCTCGCCAGACAGACAGAGAGAGACATTAGAGACAGAAAGCGAGAAATCACCCCCCAGGGGGAATGGTCACGCTGCAGTCCCTTCTCCTCCATTCTCCTCTCAGGATCTTGGGCACGCACGCACACGCACCCAGTGTGAGTTTTAAGCCACTGGGTCCAGGACACGAACCGCGGTCGACTACGTGGGAGTCCAGCGACATAGCCATTATGCTAACTGCTGGTTCCCAAGCAAACCTTTGATGTTTCAAACAACTCTTGCAGCTATGAAATTGTAACATATCTTTATACTTTTCCTTGAGGTATGTGTCATGAATGACTGATGGTAATACAGAAACTTTTACCGTGTCCTATGTATGTAAGTGGGAATGTAAACATTTCTAAAAAATGAATGACATGTTATTTTGCCTTCAGCAAATATATTATACAGAAAGGGAGATGATACATTTAAATGTTACACGAGGCCCAGCAGGTGGTGTCGTGGATAAGGACACTGGATTCCCACATGGCCAACCATGGTTCAAGTCCCGGACCTGGTGGCTTGCTTTCTCACTTTCCCTTTCTCTCTCTCTCTCGTCAAATAAAGAAAAAAAAATAACAATAACAAATGGAAATAAATAAATAATTCTTTTTAAAAAATAAATAAAATAAATAAATGTTACATGAAAGAGGAACCAGCAGTTAGCATAATGGCTCGGTTGCTTGACTCCCATGTAGTCGACTGTGGTTTGAGTCCCGGACCTGGTGGCTTATACTCACGCCGGGCACATGTGCGTGCATGCCCAAGATCCTGAGAGGAGAATGGAAGAGAAGGGATTGCGGCATGGCCATCCCCCCTAGGGGGTGATTTCTCACTTTCTATCTCTCTGTCTCTGTCTTTCTGGTGAGAGCACGTGCCCTATAGCTAAAACTTCTCAAAAAAAAAAAAAAGTTACATGAAGGAAAGAAGACTATTACCAAAAGAAGGGTATAGAAGAGAGAGTGGACCCAAAGAACCAGTTATTTCACACAGCTCACCTCTGCTCCCCTGTCTGTTAACCAAGGCAACTGGGGAAGCTTCCTAAGTGGCCGTGGCATTTAAACAGGACTCTAAAGGAAGTGTACTATTTATACATGCATAAAAGGGAGGAAAAGGGGTAGAAAAAAGCGGGAGAAAGGGTCTGAGAGAGGGAAGAGAGCACCTTCAGGTCATGCGGTTTTGTTCATGCACCGGTGTGCTTGATTCACCACATTGGAGCCTCGGGTGCCTTGTTAGTGTCACGATTCTCATGGTAGTGAGGAGCCTTGAAGATGTTATGGGACCAGCACCTGGCACAGTGGTTACGTTGCTGGACTCCCACATAATCGACTGCGGTGCAAGTCCCGGACCCTGTGGCTTAAACTCATGCTGGGTGTGCTTGCCCAGGATCCTAAGAGGAGAATGGAGGAGAAGGGATTGTGGCATGGCCATTCCCCTCTGGGGAGAAGGGGGTGATTTCTCTCTTTCTGTCTCTCTGTTTCTCTCCGAGGAGTGATTTCTCGCTTTCTATCTCTGTCTCTCTCTGTCTTTCTGGCGAGCAGCAGGTGCCTTACAGCAATAATCCCTCCAGAAAAAAAAAAAAAAAAGAGCCTTGGAGAGTTTTGAGCGGAGAATGAAATGAACACAAGTACTTCTCTGGAGGAGAATTTGAGTTGCGATGCGCTGAATGGATTTGGTGAATACAGGAGGAAATTAATGGTAGTCTAATGACAGTCCAGGCAGACTGAAAGGAGGCTCGAGTTAGGACTGTGACAACAGAGAAGAACTGACAAGTAGGAGAGGTTGACACAATGTGGTAAACTAGCCACATGAGAAATGGAGTAATGAGCCAAGATTGGCCCTGAAATTTCATGACTGGGCAAACTGCAAGTGGTACAATTTTGTGAAATAGAACTAGAGAAAAAGATTGAGGTTTTAGACTAAATTTTGGACAGGCTTAACAGCAGATAGGCACAGGTAAGGAGAAAATTAGTGAACTAGAAAATAAAGTCTTAAGTTAACCACTCAGAAGCCAATGTAGAGTGGAAGTTATAAAACAGTTAAACTTGGAAGAATAGCGAGAACTGGCATATGTCTATTAAAGTCCTGAAAGAAAGGAATGAGAATGGAGTAGAAGGGAACAAAAACTAAGAGTTCACCGTCAGCAAAGATCCCAAAAGATACAACAAAATCATGATGATAGTGTTTTAAGCATAAAAAAATAGAATTAAAATATTTTCCAGCAGAAGATAAATCAAGAAAGAAGTAAACAGAATTAAAGTATTCTTAAAGGTCTTTGAAGAAAGGGAGTAAAGATTGGGTTGGCCAATGGCATGGTGGTTAAGGCAGCTGGATCCCACATAGCCAGCTGCATGGTTCAAGTCCCAGACCTGGAGGCTTGAAAAACATGCCAGTCGTGTTTTCATGCATGCTTCAAATCCAGACAGGAGAATGAGGAAAAGGGATTGCAGTGTGGCTGTCCTCCCTAGGGGATGTTTTCTCTCTCTCTGTCCCTCTCCCTGCCCAGCACATGTGCTTTAGAGAAAATTTTTTTTGGAGAGGTTTTTGCTATAGGATATGTGCGCTCACCAGAAAGACAGAGACAGAGAGACAGAAAGTGAGAAATCACCCCCCGGGTGGATGGCCACGCCGCAATCCCTCCTTCTCCATTCTCCTCTCGGGATCTTGGGCATACACACACCTGCGCCTGGCGTGAGTTTAAGCTACTGGGTTCGGGACTCCATCCACAATTGACTATTTGGGAGTCCAGCAACATAGCCATTACGCCAACTGCTGGTCCTGCAGATTTTTACTTCGACAAAGTATGCATGTTGTAATTTCTAGGATAATCAGTAAGAATAAAAATAGTTTGAAACTTCTGTAGAAGGAAAAATGAGGAATGAGAAAAAAGTCATCTCAAAAGAAGACAAGAGGAGGGGCTTAGCAGGTGACTTCGTGGTTAAGGTGCAAGACTCCCACACGACTGCCCACAGTTTGAGTTCTGGACACAGTGACTTGAAAGACACAGTGACTTGAAAGTCATGCTGGGTGTATGTGCGTAGGTAACTGAAATCCTAAGAAGGGACAGCGATGTGGCCATACGCCCTGGGGGGTGGTTTCTCACTTTCCCTCTCTGTCTCTCCAACGAGTGTATGTGAACTATGGCGGAGGCGGGCAGGGAGGAATTAAGACAAGAGGAAAAGAAAAACTAGAATACTAGAACCCAAAATACCAACATAGAAGCACAAAATAAGTCAGATGTATCAGTAACGGGGTTAAGAACTGGAAGTAATGGAAGTCTCTAGAAGTGATCAGGTCATCATAAGAGAGTGAGTAATTAAAAGAGAACCAAGAAATGTAAACACTCCCTACCCCTTTCAACATGATTTTTTTTTTTTTTTTTGGAGAGGTTTTTGCTATAGGGCAGCTGCGCTCACCAGAGAGACACGGAGAAAAAGCGAGAGATGACCCCCAGGGGGATGTCCACGCTGCAATCCCTTCTCCTCCATTCTCCTATCCAAATCTTGGGCATGCACAACACGCACCCAGCATGAGTTTAAGCCACTGGGTCCTGGACTCGAACCGCAGTCAACTACATGGGAGTCCAGTGACATAGCCATCACGCCAATTGCTGGTCCCTCTCCTCCCCCCCTTTTAAAGGCAGGTATTTAAAGTTATTTATGAGAATTTTAAAGGTTCACTGTCTTCTATGCCAAACCTTAAAGTAAGGCAGTTTTATTGTCATTCCCAAACAAAGGAAAATAAGACTAAAAATATCTGGTCCTATTTAAAAAAAAAAGAAAAGAAAAGAAAAGAAAGAAAAGGTGATCTCAGCCTGTGCCAATGCAATCAGATTACATAGTAAGCTCTTATTTTCTAAAAGCTTATACTTTAAGAAAATGATATATTTGTGAGGCTTAACTAATGGGATAAATACGTAAGCCATTAGAAGTAGTAATCAGCAAAGCAGAAGAGCATTTTAGAAAGAAAACTTTCTAAGAAAGATAAAAGAGGAGTCATGGGTTGTCCTGTTTAGATGTGGTGGATGTGGATGAAAGTTACGATATCTCTTCCCAGGATGAGGGATGATTTATGGAGTGTTCATCTTCACAAGGACTGAGGAAAGAGGGCAGTGGGGATTTGACAGAAGATGAGAGTGACTTGTGCGTTGGTAGGTCCCTCCTAGAATAACGGTCCTCTTATTTGGATTCTTCCTGCAGAGGAGAAACAGGAAATCATTGAACAGGCTGCTCTGAAGCCCCGGGGAGTACCGCGGCGGGGCATAGGATCCGATGTTAGTTTGCAGCTTATGCCTTCTAGAGGTTGGGGCCTGGAGGGAGTACTGTGTGAACACGAGATGAAAGTCGGTGTGAGCACTACAGTAGCTGCCTCTTCTATTCTCCCTCGGTGCTGATAAAAGATAGATGAACTTTAAACTTTGACAAATTAAGTATACATGTTTTAATTTCTGGGGTAGCCACTAACTTCCATACTAGTAGAAGAAAAAATAGGAAATGAGAAGAATGTCAGCTCAAGGGACCAGCAGATGGCATAATGGTTATATCGCTTGACTCCCATGTAGTCGACTACAGTTTGAGTCCTGGACCCAGAGACTTAAAACTCACGCCCAGCGCGTGTGTGTATGTGCGTGCCCAAGATCCCGAGAGGAGAATGGAACAGAAAGGATTGCGGCATGACCATCCACCGTGGGGGGGTGATTTCTTGCTTTCTGTCTCTGTCTCTGTGGTGAGCCCACATGCCCTATAGCAAAAATCTCTCTCTAAAAAAAAAAGTTAGCTCAAAAGAAGACAAGAGAAGGGTGAGCAAGTAACTTTTGATATTTTTATTATGAATTTTCCGTAAGAAAGAAAATGGTTTAGGAAAAGGCTTACTTTTGGACATATTGTCATGAATAGCAAATATGAAAAATATTCTGTGGTTTCAATCCTCAAGCCTTATTACCCATTTGGTTAAATCCTGGAATTTTTTTCTGACACTCCAACTGGAAGGAATTTATATTCAAGAAAAACTGACATAACAGAAATAAAATATTCTCAATAGTATTCACTTGGAAATGAATTGCAAAGTGTGTCCCACAACTATCTCTCTAGTTATTAGTTATGTCATCTGCCCTGTCCCCATTCCAAATCTTTAGCTTAACTAACCTCAGGAGTGTCATTTCCTAAAAAAGTGAATGAATGAACTTGGCTATACCTAGAAAAGCAAATATTTTGGTAGTTAATGGAATTTTCTTAATAAATATATGACTTTCCAATTTTCAGAGAGTTTTAGTAGGATAAAATATACGCAATTGCATTGAATTTTTCCTTGACTGATTAGGAAAATCAGGCTTAGAGTTTAAATGAGGGATTTAGATAAGCTCTTTTAGCTACTAAGTGTTAGAATGAAGACTCAAGCACAGGAATATCCACCTTAAAAAGTTATTACTTTGAGTCAATACAGCTATCTTTTTAAATTTCTAGTATAAACATTGAGCAATATTAAGGATTTTAGTGTATTGGACCTTAAATAGCAGAGTTTTCCATAATAGAACATTCGTCACTTTTGTTAACTAATTTTTTAGGGAGGAGAGTGAAATAAGTTTTGTAAGTAAATTGTTCACTTGTCCGGTATGACAGCACAGTCTGGATTTATATTTTGATAAAGAAAACTATCCTTTGTGATTATTTTGATCCAACTTGAAAGTTTTTTTTTTTTAGCATACCAAACTAAAGTGGTAAACTTGAATAAATGCCTATTTTCTAAAATGAAAATGGTTATGAATGTATTTAAATTTTTCATTGCTTTCTTCCTTTGAAAAGGCAGAAGAAATTAGAAGTTGCCATGGAAGAAGAAGGATTAGCAGATGAAGAGGTAATGTAAATTACTCATAATAGCTGCACAAAAGCAACCCTTGTGACTTTTCCACTTGATACCGATCATTTTATAGCTTAGATAATATGAATTTTATCATTTGAATATGGGCTTCTTACTTTGTTGACATCCTGGGTATTTTTAGAAGGAGGTACTTTTTTTCTTTTTTTTTTGATTCCAATAAACATATTTAGTGAACGTTATCTACAATGTCTTAGGTGTTTGGAATAAAGTTAGGCTCCAGGAGCAATCAGTGAGCTAATTCTTCTCACGTCTTTTTGTAAAATATCTTTTCCATTTATTTATTTATTTTTACATTTTCCCACATTTACTTTACATGTCAAAAATTTTTTTGCTCATACTCCATAGTTCTTGACAGTTAAACAACTTTCAGAATTTCAGAATACTGAATTTTAAAGATAATGTTCAAAATATTTCTTATAATTTTGTATGATTTTGTTTGTGACTCTATAACAGTAGAGACAGTATGGTTTTAAATATTTTTGAGAAAATATTTACATGTCAACTACTCAAATTGTTGAAAAGCAAATGCCCAGCACGCTAGTCACAGGTAAACCTTCTCAGTTCACCCCTGCCTACCAAGTATTCTGTGATATACCATCTGCTAGCAAAGATCAGTCTCTTTTTCTTCCTTCAAAATCTTTCTTAAGATAATTCTCTGGTGTGGTTGCTCTTTTGCAATCTCTATTGATTATAATGCTGGGCTGGAAAAGGTTATTTTATGTTATAAATTCTTTCATATATCTTTTCTAATCCTCTCTGTCAGGCAGAACTGTTTATGGTGCCAGGCCATCTTTCTAAGAGCTTCTGTTGGCTTGAGATCCACCTTAGTTCCATAGTTTTCTGATTATAATCTGCAGGTATGACATTCTGGTCAGAGCCCTTTCCAATAATGAGTATTTCCAATTCCTTTTTTTTTTTTTTGGAGAGGTTTTTCATTTACTTACTTATTTAATTGTTTTTTTTGGTGGTGTATGTGCTTGCCAGAAAGACAGAGACAGAAAATGAGAAATCACCCCCCAGGAAGGATGGCCATGCCGCAATCCCTTCTCCTCCATTCTCCTCTCAGGATCTTAGGCACGCACGCACACATACCTGGCGTGAGTTCAAGCCACTGGGTATGGGACTCTTACTGCAGTCAACTGCTTGCTAGTCCCACAACATAGCCATTATGCCATCTGCTGGTCCTGAGTATTTCCAATTTCTGATGCAATGCAACAAGCATTATTGAACCTATGCAAATAACCCTAATGCCACAAAATAATAATACTCCCAAATATTTCCAATTCAAGAGGGCTCAGGAAGGAAAAGTGGTTGAAAATTTTTAAAAATAATAATTAAAAATTTAAAGAGAGAGTGTGAGGCAGACAGAGACAGCCAGCCAGAGACAGAGAAAAGATGGAAGTTGCCCTACCTTGTCTGAATATTTCAGGAGTCTAGGAGATAGAGTTTAGAGCACAGCTTCCCTCAAATTTGTTTTTTCATTGTTGTTGCTGTTGTTTTTTGCCATACGGCACGTATGCTTCCACTGTGATTATCAAGCTGCTGGGTTTGGGACAGCCTTGCAGTTGGCCATGTGGGAATCCAGGACCTTAACTGCCACACCACCTGCTGGCCTTATATTTGTTATTTAAAACTACCTTTTTCTAGTGCTGCTACCCTCAGTTAAACTACTATAGTTGGGCTAGCAGGTAGCATAGGAGGAGAAGGCATTGGATCCCACATAACCAACTCTTATGGTTTGAGTCCCAGACCCAGTAGCTTGAAAACCATGCTGGATGTGTGTGTATGCTCAAAATTATGAGAGGAGAATAGAGAAGGGCCTGCAGTGTGGCCATTTTCCCCAGGGGAGAGGTGATTTCTCACTCTCTCTCTCTGTTTTTGTCTCTTTCTCTAGCAAGTTCACACAGCTGATGGCAAAAGTCCAAAAAGAAAAAATTTCTAAAAAGTAAACTACTATGTACTTTACCTGAAGAATAACTGCTCAACTGTTCTTTTTACCTTCCACCCTCAATTTTTCTACATACTGCACCCAGAGTAATCTGTCTGAAATCAGATTTGATCACAGTACTCTTTTGCTTAATACCTTTCTTTTATTTATTTTTTTAAATTCTGGGACCAGCAGTTGGTGGAATAGCTACGTCGCTGGACTCCCATGTAGTTGACCGTGTTTCGAGTCCCAGACCCAGTGGCTGAAACTCACACTGGGCGCGTGTGCGTGCATGCCCAAGATCCCAAGAGGAGAATGGAGGAAAAGGGATTGCAGCATGGCCATCCCCTCTGGGGCGGGGGGTGAGGGAGGTGATTTCTTGCTTTCTTTCTCTCTGTCTCTCTTTCTTTCTGGTGAGCATATGCGCCCTATAGCGAAAACCTCTCAAAAAATAAAAAATAAAAAAAGATAAATTTGGTATAAGCACATGTGCTCACCAGGGAGAAACAGAGAGAGAGAATAAGAGAGCAAGCTGCCAGGTCTGGGATTCAAACCATGGTCCCCATATGGTAATCTAGTGCCTTGGCTGCCATTCCTCCTAGTGGCCCTTGCTTAATACCTTTTATGGCTCTCGAGTGTCCTCCGGATAAAGGCAATGGCATACAAGCCTTTTTGCCAGTTGTCCTCTGCTGATCTCTCTATAGGCCCATCTCTTGTCACCCTGCCCTGATGCTGACAGTGTGGAGTCACATCGATTTCCCTCACTTGCCTGTATACCTTCTCACATGCTACTTCTACCTCTTGGAACTCTTTCCTGCTCCCACCCAATTACCATTATTTTTCAAGAAGTCTTAGATCTCCCGTTAGGCCTCACTTCCTCTGGAAGATGTCCCCTCATCTCTTAAGCACTTCTTCCTACTCTGTGCCATAGCACTGCTCCTTCCAGATCTTTCAAGACTAGACTTTTGTACGAAATCGCCTGCTTTATAAAATATTAGCAAGTAATTAAAATATTTTAAAATAAGTTTATAGCCTGAATCAAATACATCGGTAGATAGAATGCTGTTAGTAGCTTCCCATTTGAAACTGTTGTTCTGCCACAGGAAGTATTAACTACATTTAGAGCTGTTTTCTTCAGTTCTTCTGAATAACTTGTAGAAAATGTGAGATGATTTTGTCCCTAAAAATATTCAGTAGCCTGCAATATCTGCTTATAAAACCTCTAAATTTTCTGTAAAGATATTTTTAATTTCACAAATGCTTATTGTTAGGCCCCATGCTGAGCCCTGGATTATGTCAAATTCCATAATAGACTAACACTCTCAAATGTAATGTAAAATATGTTGGAACTATGTTTATATGGAGTGAATTTTTAAAAATAAAACGACTTTATAAAAATCGTTTGGGATCAACAGTTAGCATAATGGCTATGTTGCTGAACTCCCATGTAGCCGACTGCGGTTCGAGTCCCAGATCCGGTGGCTTAAACTCACGCCGGGCGTGTGTGCGTGCGTGCCCAAGATCCCAAGAGGAGAATGGAGGAGAAGGGATTGCGGCATGGCCATCCCCCCTGGGGGGGTGATTTTTCGCTATCTCTCTGTCTCTGTCTTCTGGTGAGCATACACGCCTTATAGCAAAAACCTCTCCAAAAAAAAAAAATCTTTGGGGGCCAGCAGATGACATGGTGGTTACATTATTGGACTCCCACATGGCTGACTGTGGTTTGAGTCCTGGACCCGGTGGCTTGAAACTCAGGCCGGGCGCCTGTGCATGCATGCCCAAGGTCCTAGGAGGAGAACAGAGAAAATGGGATTGCAGTGTGACCATCCCTCCTGGGTAGTGATTTCTGACTTTCCCTCTCACTATCTCTGTCTCTCTTTCCAGTGAGTCATGCACCTTAAGACAAAACCTCTTTAAAAAAACAATAAGGGGCTGGCAGGTGGTGTGGTGGTTAAGGGTGCTGGACTCTCACATAGCTGACCGTGGTTTGAGTTCCGGACCTAACAGTTTGCTTTCTTACTTTCCTTCTCTCTCTTTCTTTCTCTCACTATGCCTCTCTGGTCAAATTTAAATAAATTAAGTAAATAAATAGATAAATAAAATTAAATAAAATCTAAAAAAAAAAAAATCTTTGTTTTTAAAGTTCCTTCCTTTCTTCCATGAGAAAGAGGTTGAGGTAGCATCCCAGTGCCTTGTCGATGCTGCGCAGTCCACCCTTAGCTTCAGCCAGCCCCAGATCGTGGGCACACGTGTACCCAGCATATACAGGAAGGTCTCTGGGTGTGAACTCAGAATCTTACCATGTAGGTCGCCTCAGAGCATCAGTCTTCATGGCCTTGCTACCATCCAGCCACACTAGTATTTTAATGAGAACTAGTACTCATCCTTAACTAATTTTATCACAGAAAATTATTTGTGAAAACCTTAAACCTTTTTTTTTCCTCACTATAAGGTGTGTGCACTCACCAAAGAGAGGAAAAGTGGGAAATCACTCACCAGTGGGATGGCCACACTGCAGTCTCTTCTCTTCCAATCTCCTCCTGGGATTTTGTGTGTGCATGCATACACGCCCGGTGCAACTTCCAAGCTGCCAGATCTGGGACTCAAACAGCATAGCTGACCAAATGGGATCCAGCACCTTAGCCCCTAGGCCACCTGCGGGCCCAAAAACTTTAAACCATTTGATTTACATGTCAATCTTATATATGGAGATAAAGTTGTTAGCTGCACTTTTTCTTATTTCACAACCTTTGTATATACTGTCTTATTTTTTTAAAAAAAGCAGCAGGCTCCCTACAGATCGAGAGTTTGAGGAACACCACTTAAAGGACCATGGAGAGAGGAAGAGAAGTTTTCAGTTTCATCTCACTTAAGAAAATCCCATCAAACATGGAATAGTATATCTTCTAGTGGAGAATCCCAATGGGCAAGTTCAAGTCACAAAGGATAGCAGTAAAATGTTAAGCTTGTCCATACTTTTTTTTTTTGTCTTGAGAGGAAAGGATCTGATCACATGAAGATGTTACGTGTCTTTCTAGGCTATGTAATGTACACAAGCTGTGAGCACATATGTCAATAGCATGCTTTTTCATTGATTTGGGTTTTTTTTAAACATTAACTTTTTTTTTTTTTTTTGGAGAGATTTTTTTGCTCTAGGGCGTGTGTGCTCGCCAGACAGAGACAGAGAGACAGAAAGTGAGAAATCACCCCCCAGAGGGAATGGTCACGCCGCAATCCCTTCTCCTCCATTCTCCTCTTGGGATCTTGGGCATGCACGCACACACGCCCGGTGTGAGTTTTAAGCCACCGGGTCTGGGACGCGAACCCCAGTCGACTACATGGGAGTCCAGCGATTAGCCATTAGGCTAACTGCTGGTTCCCTACATGAACTTTTTCACCTATCTCTGAACTGCAACACAGATTTTAAGAGTAAAACCATGGAGTAGGTGTGTGTTTTTTCTCATTTTTTAATTTTTATTTTTAAATTTGGTTTAGGGTGAATGTGTTCAGAGAGAGACCTGGGGCAGAGGAGGGAGTGAGAAATCCACCCCTGAAGGGTGGGACAGCCATGTCGCAGACTCCTCTGTTCTCCCTTTGGGATTCTGGGCACACACACACACACGCACCCTATGTGTTTTTCAAGCCACCAGGTCTTGAACTCAAACTGCTCAGTTGGCTATGTGGGATCCAGCTGTCTTAACCTCCATGCCACTGACTGGCCCTACAGAATAGATTTTAAAAAGTAATATAACAATGTTTAGTTGATGCCTATTTTGGTAGAATTATGTATTCCATATACTTGCAATTCTCCCTTTTTGCTGTTGAATGGCTGTCCCCAGTCCTACATAAACATTGTTTACTTGCTGTACTGTGCAACCTAAAATATAATTAATGAACATTACTTCTTTTACTGCCTCTCTGGGCTGTAGATTTTGAGCTTAATTTATGAAACTATGAGATCGTACTTTCCATTCAGATTAGACAAGTCTCTGTAACTACACCCAATTGAAATTCATTTTATCATCCATAAAGAAACAGGATACATTTCAAAATTCTTACATCTATTAATTTATGTCATTAAAACCTTTTTATAATACTGTCTTGAAAGACATGATGTTATAGTGCCACCAAGTGGCACTATGGAAGAATTAAGGTCTTAAAAATGTAAAACCGTATACTTCCTAGAGCTATCTTTAATTTTACTAGTAATTCAGTTTTCTTTTTTTATTATTCAAATGGTCATTTCGAACACCTACTACATTAAAATAAGAGGGTATGTGGCATTGTATTATATAAAAAGCAAAACGTCATCTTCACTGTTGCTCTAGGATCTTTGTTTATAATTATATAAAAGAAATTTTAGCTGCATTAAAGTGATACTTATATGAGAAAAATTACATCAGTTTTCATGATTAAATGTTTTCTTTTAAATTTATTACTATTGTTATAATTTGTTACAGGGCATGTATGCTCACCAGAGAGAGTCAGTGAGAGAGAGAGAAAGTGATGAAACAAGTTGCCAGGTCCAGACGTGGGCCAGGTGGGCATCTAGCACCTTAATCTCCGTGCTACCTACTGGCCCCATTAAATGTGTTTTTTAAACTAGTGCATAGTCTCTAGATAAAGATAGCATGTAGTAATGGTTATTACATCTTTATATAGTTGCTTAGTTCCCTTTACTGTGCTCGCCAGAAAGGCAGAGAGACAGACAGAGAGACAGAAAGCAAGAAATCCATGTCGCAATTCCATTTCCTCCATTCTCCTTTCGGGATCTTGGACACATACACACATGCACCCGGCCTGAGTTTAAGCCACTGGGACCACGATTTGAACTGCGGTCGACTACATGGGAGTCCAGTGACATAGCCACTACACCATCTGCTGGTCCCCCCTTCCTGCCATCTTACCCCAGAAGTATATCTTTAATTATTGCTTGCTTACTTTTTCTATATTGCCACTGTGTTTTATTATTAATATTTAACATGGAAAAGGGCATTAGGCAAGCTTTTTAAAAATTGTGTGTTTGGGGACCAGCAGTTGGCGTAATGTCTATGTTGCTGGACTTCCATGTAGTCAGCCACAGTTCAAGTCCTGGACCTGGTGGCTCAAACACATCAGGCACGTGAGCGTGCGTGCCCAAGATCCCGAGAGGAGAATGGAGGAGAAGGGATTGCAGCGTGGCCATCTCCCCTGGGGGGTGATTTCTTGCTTTCTGTCTGTCTCTCTTTCTGGCAAGTATATGCGCCCTATAGCAAAAACCTCTCCAAAACATAAATAAATAAAAATAAAATTTGTGTATTTGACCTTTATCATCATACAGGCATAATTTCCACCCTTGATGTGTCTGAATGTATCCCTCATTTAGCTGTTTGAAGACACAGTGTCCTGATTATATCATCTTAGAGTCACCTTGTTAGAAGTATTAGAATGCCATTGCTTTGCTGATACATATTTATATATTTGTAATTAATAGTTCACTTCTTTTTAAAACAGAAATCTCCCCCCATGACCTGCAGGTGGCATAGTAGTTAAGGACACTGGACTCGCACATGGCTGACCACGGTTCAAGACCCAGACCTGGCGGCTTGCTTTCTCTCTCTCTCTCTTGTTCTCTTTCTTTCTCTTTGTCTCACTCTCTTGCTGGTCAAATTAAAATAAATAAATAAATAAATAAATAAATAAATAAATAAATAAATAAAGTTAAAGTAATTCTTTAAAAAAAAAGTTAAAAAAAAAAAACAATATAACAGAAACCTTGAATAGAAGGCGCTGTTAAGCATCACACCGTGAGCTGCTTCTGAGCTGTTAGGGTCATATGATTGGTTTCTGCTTCTGAACTGAACCAATGAAAGTTTGATAGCGTTCACCTGAAGATAAACAGGAGTTCAGTTTTTTTTTTTGGAGAGGTTTTCGCTATAGGGCGCGTGCGCTCGCCAGACAGACAGAGAGAGACATAGAGACAGAAAGCGAGAAATCACCCCCCAGGGGGGATGGTCACGCCGCAATCCCTTCTCCTCCATTCTCCTCTCGGGATCTTGGGCACGCACGCACACGCGCCCAGCGTGAGATTTAAGCCACCGGGTCCGAGACGCGAACCGCGGTCAACTACGTGGGAGTCCAGCGACATAGCCATTACGCTAACTGCTGGTTCCCAGGAGTTCAGTTTTTTCAATTCTTTTGTTTACTTTCTACTCCATGTTACCTAAACTAGGAATTACCTATGTCAAAAAGCAGAATTTTGTTTGGTGAGGGAAAAAAAATGAAGTTTAGAGCAGTAAAACAGATGAATGTTATAACTCTTACCTTCTGGTATTTCATAGTGTTGCTGATTAATGGTAGTTATTTTTGTGATCTTTGTAGAGTCAATTATGAAATTACTGACTTGCATTTTTTTAAAGAATTATTTTATTTAACTTTATTTATTCATTTTTATTTATTTTAATTTGACCAGAGAGGGACAGACAGAGAGAGAAAGCTGCCCAGTTCAGGACTTGAACCACAGTCGGCCATGTGAGAGAACAGCACCCTTAACCACCACACCACCTGCCAGCCCCCTGACTTGCATATTTTAATGACCTTGTAATTTTGGTTTTTATCATTTCTTACATTCTGAAAGTTTATGCCAAGTCTCAAGCTGTTTATTAAAATTTGCCCAAGAATAAATTCTACTGTAAGTTAATCTCTGTGGAAATACTGCCATTATATTATTTTGGTGTCACAAGTCTTATTAGTCATGACAGAGCAGCCTGGAAATTAGGGAATTGAAGCAAAGTAGATTTTAGGGCAATTAAAGTCAGTATTAGAATACAATTAGTATTTCCTAAAGCTTATTTTTTGTTAATAAATTAACATACAGATAAAAGAATAAGTTGTGTGTGTGTGAGATAGACTAGTTAAGCTGAAATATTTAATGGGTTCCATCTCAAGACTTAGACCGTTTTATCCATTCTGTGCTTAATAAAGACTTGACCTAGGCCAGTAGGTGCATGGAGGTTAAGGCAGCTAGATCTCACAGGTCAACTCTGTGGTTTGAGTCCCAGATCTGGCAGCTTGAAAATTCACACCAGGCACATATGTGTGCCTAAAATCCCAAGAGGAGAAGAAATTGTAGTGGCTGTTGTCCCCAGAGGGGTGATTTCTCACTTTTCTTCACTCTCTGTTTCTGTCTCTCTCTTGTGAGCACATGTACCCTTTAACAAAAACTGAAAGAAAAATAAAAAGAAAGACTTAGGTAAATAAATTATGGCACTGGTAATCTTTTTTTTTATTTGGAGAGGTTTTCGCTAAAGGGCACGTGCGCTCACCAGACAGAGACAGAGAGACAGAAAGCGAGAAATCACCCCCCAGGGTGGATGGCCACGCTGCAATCCCTTCTCCTCCATTCTTCTCTCGGGATCTTGGGCACGCACGCACACACACCCAGCGTGAGTTTTAAGCCACCGGGTCCGGGATGCGAACCATGGTCGATTACGTGGGAGTCCAGCAACATAGCCGTTATGCTAACTGCTGGGCCCATAGCACTGGTAATCTTTAAGGTACCTTACCCCGATTTTTTTTTTAATTTGCTATAGGGCATGTATGCTCACTGGAGAGAGAGACACAGAAAGCGAGTACCCCACAGGGGAAATGGCCATGCTGCAATCCCTTCCCCTACATTGTCCTCTCAGGATTTCAAGCATACACACACGTTCTGGTGCCCACTCTTGGCTTTCTGGTCCCTGGTCCAGGGGTTGAACTGTATAACCATGTGGGACCCAGACGCCTTAACCACCATCCTACCAGTTGGCCTGCTTATCCCTATTTTATGTGTGTCGTCTTTCAATATTACAAATTCCTTTAAAACAAAATTGTCTTTTTTTTTTTTTTTTAAATAGAAAAAGTTACGCCGATCACAACATGCTCGCAAAGAAACAGAGTTCTTACGTCTCAAGAGGACCAGACTTGGCTTGGATGATTTTGAGTCTCTGAAAGTTATAGGAAGAGGAGCTTTTGGAGAGGTATGCTGCTTTTTAAAAGTCACTGCTGTTGAAAATAGGTATCTTCAGATAATTTAAAATATGTTTTAAAAGACAGCTTCTTAAATACCGAGTGGCTGTCGAACAATTTTAGGTATATATTTTTATATTCTAGGTGCGGCTGGTCCAGAAGAAAGATACAGGTCACATCTATGCAATGAAGATATTGAGAAAGGCTGATATGCTTGAAAAAGAGCAGGTAAGGGTTCTTTCACACACGTAAAGGAGCATCCACTGGCCCAGCCGCAGGGGTGTGCATTGCTATGGTGCTATGTTCGATAGGTGGGGACCACATGGGAGACCCGGGTTTGATTCTTAGTCCAATATGATGGTCTGATGCAGTGATAATGCTTCTGTAATTCCAGCTGCTCAGGGTGGTTGAAGCAAGATCACGAGCTCAAGGCTCTATGTAGCCTGGGCAACATAGTGAGACTCTAAAGAAGAGCAGGTTTAGTGGCTTATGCCTACAGTCCTGGCTGGAAGACGGGCAGGAAGATGGGAAGATAGACACATGGCAAGACCTCTAAAAAAAAAAAAAAAAACTATTGGCTAGGTATTAGAATGTGTATTTATACTGGAATTTAAAATAATAAATCTTCAAATCTTACTATTTAATCTTTAATTTTTTAAAAGCTTATTTTAGGGACCAGTAGATGGTTTAATGGTTATGTTTCTGGACTCCCACATGGCAAATTACGATTTGAGTCCCAGACCCAGAGGCTTGAAACTCACGCCAGGCATGTGTGTGTATGTACCCAAAACCCTGAGAGGAGAATGGAAGAAAAGGAATTATGGTGTGGCCATCCCTCCTGGGGGTTGATTTCTGGCCTTTTTCTCTATCTCTGTCTCTTCAGCACACTTCCTCTAGCAAAAATCTCTCTTTAAAAAAAAAGGCTTTAGTGTTTATAATTTCCTGTATTTAAAATTTCTTCCAAATATAGAATCTACATATTAGACTACTCAGGCTAAGTAACACAGGTTGTGTGGTTCAAACAACAGTAAAAACAACAGTAACTTATTTTCTCATAGTTTTGGAGGTTGTAAATTTGTTTTTTAGAATTATTTAATTTTATTACTACCATTTTTTAATTTGCCATAGGGCATGTACACACTCTCACCCCAAAAAAAGGGAAAGTGAGAAAGTAAGCCATCCCGTCTGGGGTTCAAACTGTGGTTGGCCATGTGTCAGTCTAGCACCTCAACCACCACACTACCTGTTGGCCCCTAGGTGTATGTGTGTGTGTGTGTATATATATTTTTTAAATAGAGGTTTTTGACTTTGGGTGTGTGCGCTCACTAGAGAGAGTCAGAGATAGTGAGAGGGAAAGTGAGAAATTACCCTCCAGGGAGGATTGCCAAGCTGCAATCCCTTTTCCTCCATTCTCCTCCTGGGATCTTGGGAACGCACACACAGGTGCCTGGAGTGAGTTTCAAGACTCCAGTTCTGGGATTCGAACCATGGTCAGCCAATGTAGGAGTCCAGCGATGTAACCTCTTCACCATTTGTTGGCCCCCAAATGTGATTATTTTAAGTGAGTCACATTTTAGTGTCATGGAATGGTTTACAAATATGTATTCTCATGTACTTTGGGCCAGAGTTAATGGTGCACACTGAAGATAGTAAAAGCATGAAATCAAATCTTATTTGTATTTAATCTTTGAAGAATATGTGTGTGTGTGTGTGTGTGTGTGTGTGTGTGTGTGTATTATCATGCAAATGCACCTGAAAGCTGACCAGTTATATCAACCCTACACTTAATTTAATTCATAATTTTTCCCATTTATAAAAATTTCACAAAATAATATCTAGTAATTATGTGTCTAACAACTTGATAGGAAAATCCTAGAAAGTTACACTGATTTACTGTGGCTAATGTTTATAGCTATTCTAGAGGGTTTTTCTGTTCTTTTTAAAATTTTGCTATGGGCCATGTGTGCTCACCAGAGAAACACACAGAATGAGAGAGAGTGAGAAATCAGCCCCCCAGGGGGAAAGATCATGCTGCAATCCCTTCTCTTGGGAATTTTGGGCATGCATGCACACGTGCCCTGAATGTTTTCCAAGCCACTGGGTTTGGGACTTGAACCTCACAGTCGGCCATGCGGGATCCAGCCACCACTATACCACTGAGCTGTCATAATACTATAGAGATTTGATAGTTTAGCAATAACTTAACATAAAGTTATTATAAACATTCCCACTTCTTATAAAACAAGTAAATATGGCCTGGCCTTGGTGGTGCAACAGTAATGCCATGCTCTCCAGTGCTAGAAGCCATATGGAAGATTGGGAACTCATTCCTTGGTTGACTCATGTAAATCAGGTGGACACGTGTGTACCTGTGATCCTGGCTGGCTGTGAAAGACTCGGGGGACAACGTTGCTGTGAGACCCTGTTAGGATGTTTCCTTCTCTTTCTCATGCAATCAGTCAATTAACAAACAAACTTAAAAAAAGATTGAGCTGTGTCCTTTGTTTTACAGTTGAACAGAGCTTGCTGTTATAAGCAAAGCTTACTTCATCATAGCAATCTATAGGACATTGCTTACTACTACTGACTTTTTTATTTTTTTTAGAAGTTTTCGCTATAGGGCGCGTGCGCTCGCCAGACTGAGACATAGAGACAGAAAGCAAGAAATCACCCCCCGGGGGGATGGTCACACCGCAATCCCTTCTCCATTCTCCTCTTGGGATCTTGGGCACGCATGCACACGCGCCCAGCATGAGTTTTAAGCCACCGGGTCCGGGACGCGAACCGCGGTCGACTATGTGGGAGTCCAGTGACATAGCCATTACGCTAACTGCTGGTTCCCACTACTACTGACTTTTAAAGTCAGGCTAATATTCTAATATTTATATGACAAGGCCAGGATCCTTGGCTGGGCGGAGATTTTGGTTAGGAAGTTTTAAACAAATCATTGCCCTACCTTGAAAGTCTCAGTTTCCCATAATACACCTGTTGATCTCACCTTTTGAGGCCTAAAGATATAAGCTAAAATAAACTGATTCCTGAGGTTCTCCCTATCTACTGAGAATATGAACATACATGTATGTTTCAAATCTTTTCTAAAATTCAAGCCTGTCTTCTGCTGTTATGGATGGTTAATTGTAAGATGAAAGCTTGAGAAGTGTGTAATATGTTACAATTATTTTTTTCCAAATATATTTGTCTAGGTGGCTCATATCCGAGCAGAAAGAGATATTTTGGTTGAAGCAGATGGTGCCTGGGTGGTGAAGATGTTTTATAGTTTTCAGGATAAGAGGAACCTTTATCTAATCATGGAATTTCTTCCTGGAGGTAAAAGCAAACATTATAGCAACGACAAGTGGACACAAACATGTCTTTATATATGATAATAATTTTATTTGATACAGTCACTTTTATACTCCTAGCTCTGAGATTTTACATAGTCAATTTTTTCAAAAATTACTTCCATAATACTCATTCTGACCACAAATGATAAAGTATTGAAATACTAGCATTCTGGGTCCACTGTATATAATTAGAGTGTTGTAAGACTAGAATTAGGAAAAAGAAGACAACCCAATGGGCAATTACACAGAATAGGTAATGGGGTACACAGAGTAAGATAATATACAGAATGGGATAGTGCATGAAAGAGAAACTGGCTAGTCCATAAGTATATAGGAAAATGTTCTACTTCACTGTTACTCAGGGAGATGCAAATAAAATAAGGAGATAGCCATCTCCTATTCATCTGATTAACAAATATATTCAAGTCTGATATTACTGTACTGCCGAGGTTGTGGGAGAAAATGGCCTTTTGTAAACTGTTCCCTAACGTTTACAAAGGGCAGTACAGAGAGGTTCAGGGACACTAAGAATGCGTGTGTCCTGTGATCCAGCACTTTCACCACCAGATGTGTCCTCCAGAGAGTCTCTCTAACAAGAGACCTGTAAAACAATGTGCGTTGCAACATTGTCATAATAGTGAAAAATTGGATGCAATATGAATTATTCACCAGCAGAATGGATAATAAAATCCAGCATAATTATATGGTGAGATATTTTATAGTCATTAGAAGTCATAGGCTCTATCTGATTCAAGAATAAGGTCTCAGAAGCACAGTGAATAAAGCATGATGTAGAATTGCACGTACTGTTTGATACTCATGTAATTTTTAAAACAGAGAAGACCATAATTCATAGATTAATAGATGTATATGAAAACATATTTATAAATAAGCTAGGAAGATACACACCAAATGAAATCATGATAGTTGTTCAGCAAAGAGGAAAAGGGAACAGAGTGGAATAGAGAATAGAGAACACCTATGCATGTTACATATTTATTTATTTATTTATCTTAAATGAATTATTTTATTTGATTGTTTTATTTATTTTTTATTTTTTTGGAGAGATTTTTGCCATAGGGCACATGCACTCGCCAGAGAGACAAAGAGACAGAAAGCGAGAAATCACCCCACAGGGGGGATGGCCACGCTGCAATCCCTTCTCCTCCATTCTCCTCTCAGGATCTTGGGCACGCACGCACATGCGTCCAGCATGAGTTTAAGCTGCCAGGTCGGGACTCGAACTATTGTTGACTACATGGGAGTCCAGTGACATAGCCATTACACTAAATGCTGGTCCCTGTTTGTTGTTTTAATTTGACCAGAGAGGAGCAGAGAGAGAAAGTGAGAAAGCAAGCTACCAGTTCCAGGACTCAAACTATGGTCAGCCATGTGGGAGTCCAGCCCCTTTAACCACCACACCACCTGCTGCCCCCTATTTTTTAATAAAAGACTCAGAGCATATATAAAAAAAAAATGTTATTAGTTGCCAAGTTTACACTATGTTGTAAAGTGTACCAGTATTCATAATAGTTAAAACAACTTAACCATTTGCTTTTTTTTTTAATTGCCAGAGGGTGTGTATGTGCTTGGCAGAGACACAGAGAAAGAGAAGGAGAAAGCACACCCAGATGGGGTGTGATCATGATGCAATTCTTTCTCCTCTGTTTCTCCATTCCAACTGGATTTTGGCACACATGCACATGTGCCTGGTGTGTTTTTCAAGCTGCTGGGAAGAGGATTTGAGCCACAGTCGACCCTGTGGTCACTTAACCACTAGGTCCTAGAGTCAACCCTTCACTTTTATGTTTTTGTTGTTGTTGTTTTTAGTTTTGCTATAAGGTGCTTGTGTTCACTTGAGAGGGAAAATAAAAGTGAGAAATCAAACCCCCTGGGGGGTGGGGAGGTGGTCACCCCACAATCCCTTCTCCATTCTCCTCTTAAGATTTTGAGTGGGCATGCACACACACGCACCAGGCATGATTTTCTAGCTGCTGGGTCTGGGACTCGAACCACGCAGTTGGCCATGGGAGATCTAGCCGCCTTAACCTCCCTGCTACCTGGTGGCCCAACTGTCACCTCTTCTTTAAAACAAAACAAGACAAATGTAAAAATAAAAGAATGTCTAGAGGTGACCCTTAGTCAAGTGATGGCCTATTTTTGTTGGACTAAAGAGCTCATGGGTGTTTGAAACTTTAAAGGAGTATGTCTGGTTTTCCAGGTGTAGTTAATTCAGTTTGATATCTTTTCTTCAGCAACTTATTCTGGCTATTGACTGGTATTCATGACTAGCCATGCAGCAATCCCTTCTCCTCCATTCTCCTCTCAGGATCTTGGGCACGCACGCACACGCACCCAGCGCATAATACACCTGTTGATCTCACCTTTTGAGGCCTAAAGATATAAGCTAAAATAAACTGATTCCTGAGGTTCTCCCTATCTACTGAGAATATGAACATACATGTATGTTTCAAATCTTTTCTAAAATTCAAGCCTGTCTTCTGCTGTTATGGATGGTTAATTGTAAGATGAAAGCTTGAGAAGTGTGTAATATGTTACAATTATTTTTTTCCAAATATATTTGTCTAGGTGGCTCATATCCGAGCAGAAAGAGATATTTTGGTTGAAGCAGATGGTGCCTGGGTGGTGAAGATGTTTTATAGTTTTCAGGATAAGAGGAACCTTTATCTAATCATGGAATTTCTTCCTGGAGGTAAAAGCAAACATTATAGCAACGACAAGTGGACACAAACATGTCTTTATATATGATAATAATTTTATTTGATACAGTCACTTTTATACTCCTAGCTCTGAGATTTTACATAGTCAATTTTTTCAAAAATTACTTCCATAATACTCATTCTGACCACAAATGATAAAGTATTGAAATACTAGCATTCTGGGTCCACTGTATATAATTAGAGTGTTGTAAGACTAGAATTAGGAAAAAGAAGACAACCCAATGGGCAATTACACAGAATAGGTAATGGGGTACACAGAGTAAGATAATATACAGAATGGGATAGTGCATGAAAGAGAAACTGGCTAGTCCATAAGTATATAGGAAAATGTTCTACTTCACTGTTACTCAGGGAGATGCAAATAAAATAAGGAGATAGCCATCTCCTATTCATCTGATTAACAAATATATTCAAGTCTGATATTACTGTACTGCCGAGGTTGTGGGAGAAAATGGCCTTTTGTAAACTGTTCCCTAACGTTTACAAAGGGCAGTACAGAGAGGTTCAGGGACACTAAGAATGCGTGTGTCCTGTGATCCAGCACTTTCACCACCAGATGTGTCCTCCAGAGAGTCTCTCTAACAAGAGACCTGTAAAACAATGTGCGTTGCAACATTGTCATAATAGTGAAAAATTGGATGCAATATGAATTATTCACCAGCAGAATGGATAATAAAATCCAGCATAATTATATGGTGAGATATTTTATAGTCATTAGAAGTCATAGGCTCTATCTGATTCAAGAATAAGGTCTCAGAAGCACAGTGAATAAAGCATGATGTAGAATTGCACGTACTGTTTGATACTCATGTAATTTTTAAAACAGAGAAGACCATAATTCATAGATTAATAGATGTATATGAAAACATATTTATAAATAAGCTAGGAAGATACACACCAAATGAAATCATGATAGTTGTTCAGCAAAGAGGAAAAGGGAACAGAGTGGAATAGAGAATAGAGAACACCTATGCATGTTACATATTTATTTATTTATTTATCTTAAATGAATTATTTTATTTGATTGTTTTATTTATTTTTTATTTTTTTGGAGAGATTTTTGCCATAGGGCACATGCACTCGCCAGAGAGACAAAGAGACAGAAAGCGAGAAATCACCCCACAGGGGGGATGGCCACGCTGCAATCCCTTCTCCTCCATTCTCCTCTCAGGATCTTGGGCACGCACGCACATGCGTCCAGCATGAGTTTAAGCTGCCAGGTCGGGACTCGAACTATTGTTGACTACATGGGAGTCCAGTGACATAGCCATTACACTAAATGCTGGTCCCTGTTTGTTGTTTTAATTTGACCAGAGAGGAGCAGAGAGAGAAAGTGAGAAAGCAAGCTACCAGTTCCAGGACTCAAACTATGGTCAGCCATGTGGGAGTCCAGCCCCTTTAACCACCACACCACCTGCTGCCCCCTATTTTTTAATAAAAGACTCAGAGCATATATAAAAAAAAAATGTTATTAGTTGCCAAGTTTACACTATGTTGTAAAGTGTACCAGTATTCATAATAGTTAAAACAACTTAACCATTTGCTTTTTTTTTTAATTGCCAGAGGGTGTGTATGTGCTTGGCAGAGACACAGAGAAAGAGAAGGAGAAAGCACACCCAGATGGGGTGTGATCATGATGCAATTCTTTCTCCTCTGTTTCTCCATTCCAACTGGATTTTGGCACACATGCACATGTGCCTGGTGTGTTTTTCAAGCTGCTGGGAAGAGGATTTGAGCCACAGTCGACCCTGTGGTCACTTAACCACTAGGTCCTAGAGTCAACCCTTCACTTTTATGTTTTTGTTGTTGTTGTTTTTAGTTTTGCTATAAGGTGCTTGTGTTCACTTGAGAGGGAAAATAAAAGTGAGAAATCAAACCCCCTGGGGGGTGGGGAGGTGGTCACCCCACAATCCCTTCTCCATTCTCCTCTTAAGATTTTGAGTGGGCATGCACACACACGCACCAGGCATGATTTTCTAGCTGCTGGGTCTGGGACTCGAACCACGCAGTTGGCCATGGGAGATCTAGCCGCCTTAACCTCCCTGCTACCTGGTGGCCCAACTGTCACCTCTTCTTTAAAACAAAACAAGACAAATGTAAAAATAAAAGAATGTCTAGAGGTGACCCTTAGTCAAGTGATGGCCTATTTTTGTTGGACTAAAGAGCTCATGGGTGTTTGAAACTTTAAAGGAGTATGTCTGGTTTTCCAGGTGTAGTTAATTCAGTTTGATATCTTTTCTTCAGCAACTTATTCTGGCTATTGACTGGTATTCATGACTTGATTATCAACTCTGATCTGATTTCACTTTACATATAGAGTGCTGCTGATTTAATGATGATTTGCCTTCATTCTTTTATTTTACTTTCTTTTTTAAAAAAAATTTTTGCTATAGTGCTAGAGAGACAGAAAACAGAAAATCACTCCCCACAATGGAAAGCCATGCCACAGTCCCTTCTCCATTCTCCTTTAGGGATTTTGGACTTACATGCACATGCACCTGTCATGAGGGTTTTGTTTTGTTTTTTTCATTATTTTATTTTGGGGCCAGCAGGTGGCATGGTGGTTAAGGATGCTGGACACCCACATGGCCGACCGTGGTTTGAATCTCAGACCTGGTGGCTTGCTTTCTCACTCCATTGTTGCTGACAGGTGCCATATCATTAGGCCTATGATGGTTGTGTCTGTACTGAACTTAGACATCTGTTTCCTTGTCATTATTCCTTGAACAGTACAGTCTTAACAACTGTGTACATAGCATTTAGCGTGGTATTCTAAGTAATCTAGAGATGATTTCAAATATACGGGAAGAAGCGCTTAGATTGTCTGCCAAGACAAATACCACACCATTTTATATAAGGGACTTTAGTACCCACAGATTTTGGTATCCATATGGTTCTGGAACCAATCCCCAGAAGTTACCAAGAGACGACTGTATTCCCCTTTTGAGGCATTTTCCATAACATGATACATTCTTTTATTTAGGTGACATGATGACATTACTAATGAAGAAAGATACTCTGACAGAAGAGGAGACCCAGTTCTACATTTCAGAGACTGTTCTGGCAATAGATGCCATCCACCAGTTGGGTTTCATCCATCGGGATATTAAACCAGACAACCTTTTGTTAGATGCCAAGGTATGTGAATAAACTAGTTAATGATAAGGTTGCTGATTTTCTGTAGAATATTTGAACAGATTTTGTGAATGAAAATGGGCAACTGTGATTTCGGTTATCATTAAACGTTATTTCATGATACAACTCTGGAGTGCAGTGACATCAGTGGAATATGGTTGTCTTTGTTTCTTTTTCTCTTTCTTTTTCTTTTTTTTAAAATTTGTTACAGGATGTGTGCGTTTGCTGGACAGTGACAGAGAAAGAGAAAGAGGGAAATTGAGAAAGCACCCTCAGAGGAGATGGCCACGCTGCAATCCCTTCTCCATTTTCCTCTGAGGATTTTAGGCAGGCGTGCACATGCATGCACACACACACACACACATCTAGCATGTTTTTCAAGTGGCCGGGTCCAGCCTCAAACTGTGCAGTCAGACATGTGAGATCCAGCTGCCTCAACCACGATGGTGCTAGCTGGCCCTGCCCATCTTTTTATCTTCCTCCATTTTCTACTTCTCTCTCTTTTTTTTTTTTAATAAAGAATTATTTTTTATTTTAACTTTATTTATTTCATTGATTTCATTTTTTTAATTTTAATTTGACCAGAGAGGAACAGAGTGAAAGAGAGAGAGAGAGTGAGAAAGCAAGCTGCCAGGTCTGGGACTGGAACCATGGTTGACCATGTGGGAGTCCAGTGCCCTTAACCACCATGCCACCTGCTGGCCTCCATTTTCTACTTCTTAAAATTGATCTTCAGATATTTATAATCTTACATTTTCACCTGTATAAATACCAAGCTAGAATTTCACAGTAATTATGTTTATAAAAAGAAGTTGATAATAAGGCTTTTTGTATACAAAATTAATATAATTCAACTTCACTGGATTTTTTTTTTTTTTTAGGGTCATGTAACATTATCTGATTTTGGTTTGTGCACGGGATTAAAGAAAGCTCACAGGACTGAATTTTACAGAAATCTCACACACAACCCACCAAGTGACTTTTGTAAGTTTGATATTTTTTCTGGTTAAAATATGATAGCTAGTTTAATTCTGTACTGTCAAGAACTGAAGGTTTTCTTCCTTCCTCTACACACTCCTTAAGTATTGTTTTAGATGCATACATGTAATTTTGTTGTTTTGGTGAGAGTTTTTCCCTCATGATTACAATTGCATCTTGTTGAAATTAGCATTTCAGAACATGAACTCGAAGAGGAAAGCAGAGACCTGGAAGAAGAACAGGAGACAGCTGGTGAGCCAACTCTGTTTTTTTTTTTTATGAAATCATTAATTATTATTATTTTATTAATTATTATTTTGTTTGCTGTAGCACACATGCATTCACTGGAGAGAGGCAGACAGAGAGAGAAAAAGAGAAGGAAAGCAAGAAAGTAAGCCGCCAGTTCTAGGACTCGAACTCTAGTTGGCCATATGGGAGTCCCATGCCTTAACCAGCATGCCACCTGCTGACCTCAAGCCAACTCTGTTTCTAAGAAACAATTTTGTGCCCTAGTCCTAAAGTCACACCTGGTTCTTACTTAATTTTCTATCTTCACAATGATTACTTTGAAGCAATGATGGAGCTTGATTTGGGATCACACAGCTTTCTTAGTTTTACTCTAAAGTTTCCTTGCTTATAATATACTGAACAGTTGATTTTTCCTTTCTGAATACTTTATCCAACATACGCATACTTTATCGGTTCACTAGTAAGTAGCACTTGAATAAAACTCTCTGAGCCGAGTATGATTTTGATCAATGACTTGTGATTTCCAGTTTTCTATTTTCTGAACCTATGGTGTAAGTCCTGATACAACAGATACCCACCAGCGAGCTAGGTGGTTATGAGTTTTCTAAGAACTTTATACATAAACAGGAAGTTTGGCATGTCAGCAGTGTTATAATAAATAGATAAAAATCAAAAGCAGGGACCAGCACGTGGCATGGTGATTAAGGTGCCAGACACCCACATTACTGACCATGGTTTGCATCTCGGATCTGGTGGCTTGCTTTCTCTCTTTCGCTTTCTCTCTCTGGTCAAATTAAAAAATAATAATAACAAAAGGAATCAAATAAATAAATCTTCCCAGAAAGTGGAAAGTAGATTTAACACAGGTAAATGTAATGCTCCTTTAATATAGAACTGCAGTCTTTTTCTTATTATTTTATTCAGAGTAGGGAACACATATGCACTGAAAGAAAGTACCCTTCAATAAGGCCTGGTCATGCCACAACCCTTTTTCCTCCAATTCTTCATCCTTTCAGGACCCTGTGCACTCGTGTGTGTTCACTCAGTGTGTTTTTCCAGCCACCAGTGCTGGGACTGAACCCTGGTCTGCCATGTGGGATGCAGCTTTCTCTGTGCAGCAGTTAGCCACTGTCCTCAGGGCTGGCCTCCCCCGTCTGTTTTTAACCCCATTAGTTACAGTCTCTTCTTAGCACATATAGTCTCTAACTTACCGTGGTTCAGTTTTACAATACTTCAGCTCTATGATGGTTATATCAGGATATTAAATGCATTTTTGACCTATTATGGATTTATTGGGATACAATCATTGTTGAATTGAAGAGTATCTGTGCAAGGATTGCTTCCCCTTTTCTCTCTCTTTATCCTGTTAACAAAGTACACAAATATTTTTTAAAAATATTTTATTTAACTTTATTCATCATCATTGTTATTACTTTAATTTGACCAGAGAGAGACGCAGCGACAGGGTAAGTGAGAAAGCAAGCTACCTGGTCCAGGATTTGAACCGTGGTCGGCCATGTGGGAGTTCAGCAACCACTATGCCACCTGCCAGCCCTACACCAACATTCTCAAAGTTAGGAATGTGCCTTTTAACTTTCATTTCCTGATTTCTTGTACAATGTGTGGCATATAGACACTCTATAAATATTTGTTCAACTCAACCAAGTAATGAAAGAAAAACTAAGTCGATACTCCTTTAGGAAAGGAAATAGACTGAAAAATAATAATTTGATATCCTCTAAAAAACAAATAAAATTACCTTTGTATTATTGAACTTATTCTCTCATTATCCCAAGTAACTATAAACTTCCTGTGCTTATAAAACATGCCACTGTTTTAAAATTGTATTGAACTCCATAAATATTGAGGAGAAAAACTATCTTTCTTTTAAATGCATCATTTTAAAAACCAGGCTTTAAAATTGGGAAAGAAGTGCTGTATTCTCTATTTTTAAAGAGGAGACAACTACGGTGTGTAAATTCCGTGTCCCTGCCCCCTATTTATGGAACTTTCGCAGGCGATGATTTGTGTTCTCGTGGCCAGCAGTTGCCGAGCTGCACATCAGCGTTTCCCAAAGGAGAAGGAGGGGGGACTCTGTCGATATTTGGGGCGGGACATTCTTTAGTACCTGGGTTCTTGCCTGCTAAATGTTAATCATATCTTCTCCCCAGGCCATGAGAAACAACTACCCTAAAGAAATAGTTCTTGAGGGCCAGAAGGTGGTGAGTGGTTAAGGCACTGCACTCCCACAGTGACTGCAGTTCGAGTCTCAGACCTGGAGGCTGGAAACACACTGACTGCTTGTGGGTGCCCAAAATCCTGACAGGAGATTGGAGGAGAAAGGAATGTGGCATGGCAATCCCCCCAGGGGAGTGATTTCTCACTTTCTTTCTCTGTCTCTCCAGTGAGCACACATGCACCCTATAGCAAAAAAACAAACAAACAAACAAACAAACAAAAAAAAAAAAACAGAAAAAAATACTTATAAAAAGAAGTAGTTTTTGTAAAATTTTTATATGAATTAAGAATAGCTTCCTTAAGGATAGGGAGTGCTCTGGAATTAAGCTTGTAATGAAGATACCTGATGTTTTTATAGTAGTTTGTTTAGAAAGCACATTTCTTCTTTCTTTTTTTTTTTCATCCTCAATATCAACTCTGTTAGAGCTGGTATGCTGGTATTATTACTCTAGTTTTATGTAAGTGGAAGTAGAAGCTCAGAGAGGTTGAACAGCTTGCCAAGAAATGCATTATTAGAGAATGCAGAAACCAAGTCTACTGGTTTCAATGTCTTCACTTTTTTTTTGGAGAGACTTTTTTTGCTATAGGGCACGGGCGCTAGCCAGACAGACAGAGACATAGAGACAGAAAGCGAGAAATCACCCCCCAGCGGGGATGGTCACGCCGCAATCCCTTCTCCTCCAGTCTCCTCTCGGGATCTCGGGCACCCATGCACATGCGCCCGGCGGGAGTTTTAAGCCACCGGGTCCGGGACGCGAACCGGGGTCGACTACGTGGGAGTCCAGCGACATAGCCATTACGCTAACTGCTGGTTCCCTTCACTTTTTTTAAAAGAGATTTTTGCCTTAGGGTGTGTGCACTCATTGGAGGGAGAGAGAGAAAGAGACAGAGAGAGGGAAAGTGAGAAATCAGCCCCCCAGGGGGATGGCCACTCTACAATCCCCCCTCCCTCCTCTGTTCTCCTGGGATCTTGGGCACATATACGTGCCCGACATGAGTTTCAAGCCACAGGGTCCAGAACTCAAACCGTGGTAGGTCCTATGGGAGTCCAATAACATAACTACTATGCCATCTGCTGGCCCTTAATGTCTTCATTCAAAAAAAAAGTGGACTTAGAGGTTGAAGTTGCTGGATTCCCACATGGCCAACCGTGGTTTGAGTCCTGGACCTGGCGTGGTGGTTAAGGTGCTGGACTCCCACATGACTGACCATCGTTCAAGTACCAGACCTGGCGGCTTGCTTTTTCACTTTCCCTTTTTGTCACTCTCTCTGGTCAAATTAAAAAATAATGATGATGAATAAAAGTAAATAAATTCTTTAAAAAATGGATTTAGGGTTACATATGTAACTAGTTAGGCTTCTTGGGAGGCAGAAATCACAAATTCTATAATGTGTTATTTGATGCAATACCTGTCATTAAGCCTTGCATGTGATAAACATGCACAGTAAATGTTCAGTGGAAATTTAGGGCCAGCTTGTGGCATGATGGTTAAGGTGGCTGGACCCACATGGCTGACCACACTGGTGTGTGTGTGTATATACCCAATTCCCAAAAGGAGGGAGAACGGAGAGGAGATTGCAGCATGACCATCCCCATGCGGGTGCTTCCTCACTTTCCCTCTCTCTGGAATTCATACACCCTCTGGCAAAATTGTTTTACAAAATGAAAATTTAACTTCTCTATATATTGCTTTTTGTGGTAGTAAGCCATACTTGTTTAAATTTTTTTTTTTTTTTTTGGAGAGGTTTTCGCTATAGGGCGCGTGCGCTCGCCAGACAGACAGAGAGAGAGACATAGAGACAGAAAGCGAGAAATCACCCCCCAGGGGGGATGGTCACGCCGCAATCCCTTCTCCTCCATTCTCCTCTCGGGATCTTGGGCACGCACGCACACGCGCCCGGCGTGAGATTTAAGCCACCGGGTCCGAGACGCAAACCGCGGTCGACTACGTGGGAGTCCAGCGACATAGCCATTACGCTAACTGCTGGTTCCCTAAATTTTTTAAACTGTTAAAAATGCTGTTTTGACAAGCTGCTCTTCTGTAGGCATATTCCACAGTTGGGACTCCAGATTACATCGCTCCAGAAGTGTTCATGCAGACCGGTTACAACAAACTGTGCGACTGGTGGTCGCTGGGAGTGATCATGTATGAAATGCTGATAGGTATGTTTTACCATCCATATATGTGCATAATGTGTGTATCACCCTGCGTGCCGTTGTTTGAACATACTGCGGATACCACGGCAACAGTGTCTCAGCTCTTTCAAGCCTATTTCTGACATTCCCCAGTGTTAAACGCATGCTGAAGAATACCAGTGAGCTCCCCAGAGATCCTTTTCACGAGGGGAGATATTTAACCCAAACTCCCAGCTATCAACACTTTCACGTACAGGCAGGCAGTGCTTTAAATTCTTTACTTTATTGGGAGTTTGACTGTCAGTGGATGTGCCGTGGCTTGAATAGAGCACTCAGGGCTGTTTTGCTTCTTGTGCCACACGCTTTGAAGGTACTGATGACAAAAGCTAATACAACTTTTTGCTTTTTTTGATACATAGGATATCCACCTTTCTGCTCTGAAACACCTCAAGAAACCTACAGAAAAGTGATGAACTGGAAAGAAACTCTAGTATTTCCTCCAGAGGTTCCTATATCTGAGAAAGCCAAGGACTTAATTCTCAGGTTAGCGGTTAAATACCTAGAGGAATTCACAGTATCTTAAAACTTCACAGTATCTAAAAGACCCATTTCACTCTTGGGTAGGGAGAGGGAACACTGGTTATCTATATAGTCAAAAAGATCAATCATGAACAAGTGTTTCAAAAAAGAGAACTCTTAAAAGAAAGTATGAAGGAGAAAAAAAGTTAGGGGCCAGAAGGTGGCATGGTGGTTGAAGTTGCTGGATTCCCACATGGCCAACCGTGGTTTGAGTCCTGGACTGGCAGCTTGCTTTCTCCCTTTCCTTCTCTCTTTTTCTTTCTCTCTCTGGTCAAATTACAAAATAATTAAAATGACAAACTAAATAAATATTTTTTTAAAATTACAGACTAAATAAATAAGTATTTTTTTTAAAAAGGAGAAGTTAAGAGGGAAGAGGTCTTAAATTATTTCAGTTACTGATACGTAGTAAAAGCAAAGACACTTCTTTTATAATACAACAACCTGATCCCATTAAAGAGAAAAGGAAGACCAACCTCGGAGGCAAAGGGTGAACACTGCAGCGCCGAAGCTGCAGGGGAAGACTCCAAGGTCCTATCCCGTGTCTCCCTGTACACACCAGCCTTGCACGTGCCTGTGATCCTGGCTGGCTGAGCTGGTCATGGGTTGCCATGGGAAGGCCCTACTGAGGGTGCCCTCTGTCTCTCTCTCTCTAATAGAAGAAATAAATAAACTTAGAAGAGAGAGAAAAGGGGAAAATGTATGGTCTGTAGCAGAAACTCATATCATGAAAAATTGGGAGACCAGTAGATGGTGTAGACTCCCGTGGAGTCTACTGTCTTTCGAGTCCTAGACCTGGCAGCTTAAAACTCACGCTGGGCATGTGTATGTAGATGCCCCAAATCCTGAGAGGAAAATGGAAAAGAAGGGATGGCAGCATGGCCATCCCCCCTGGGGGGTGATTTCTTGCTTTCTATCTCTTTGTCTGTCTCTGTCTCTCCAGCAAGTGCACGCACCCTATAGCAAAAACCTCTCTATAAAAAATTGGTATGTGAAATGAAATCTTCTAAGCAAAGATTCCATTCTGTTCCTCAGTTGAGATGAAGTGTTTTGGTTCTCTTGTGAATGGCTGAAGGAAATACATTGGGATAACCTGCGGGAACAGCCAATTACCAATATATTAAAAAATGTTTAGGGCCAGCCGGGTGGCGTGGAGGTTAAGGTAGCTACGTTCCACGTGACTGACTGCATGGTTTGAGTCCTGGACCCAGCAACCTGAAAAACATGCTGGGTGCACTTGTGTGTGTTCCCAGAATCTTGAGAGGAAAATGGAGAAGGGGTTGTGATGTAGCCATCTCCCCTGAGGGATGATCTCTCTCTCTCTCTTTTCTGGCAAGTACACACACCCTGTAGCAGAACTTTAAAAAAATGAAAAATTTTTAAAACTCCATACAACTTTTGACTCAGCAGTTCTACTAGAAATTTTGTCTCTTCATATAATCAGATTGTATAAAGGTTTAAATACAAGTATATTTATTTTAATAGTGAAAAGTGGGAGGCCAGCAAGTGGCATAGTGGTTAAGGCACTGGACTCCCACACAGCAGACAACAGTTTGAGTCCTGGACCCAGCGACTTGATACTCACGTCAGGCACATGTGTGTGCATGCATGCCTAAAATCCCAAGAGGAGAATGGAGGAGACGGGATAGCCGCATGGTCATTCCCCTGGAGGATGACTTCTCACTTTCCCTCTCTCTTTCTCTTTCTTTATCTCCTGCAAGCACACATGGCCTAGCAAAAGTCTCTCTTTAAAAAAAAAAGTGAGGGACCAGCAGGTGGTGTGGTGGTTAAGGCGCTGGGTTCGAGTCCTGAATTTGGTGGCTTGCTTTGTCACTTCCTCTCTCTCTCACTCTTACCCTCTGTCTCCCTCTGGTCAAATTAAAAACTAAGTGAATGAATAAATAAAATTAAATAAATAAATAATTATTTTTAAAAAAGTGAAAAGTTGGGAACAATCTCAATGTTCTGCAATAATGAGCTGGCTAAATAAATTGTAGTGTTTTCATATTACAAATTTTAGAGAATAAATTTAGAGAGATATTTAATGACTGTGGGAAATTTTCTTAGTATTTTAAATGAAAAAAGTCATCCTGAAATAGTAGCAACTATAAGAACGTGGTATTTTAAATTTTATTATGATAAATAGAAGAAAACCACTTCAAAATATTTACAATAGTTATTTCTGAATAGTACAATCACAGATGATTTTATTCTCCCAAACTTTCCCCAATAAACCTACCTAATTTCAGCAAGCAGAAAGAAAAAAACGTGGAACTCTAAAAAACTCATTAAAGTAATATTAACTACCTTTCTGTAGCTGTAACTTACATAATTGCTTTTCTGTTTACATGTTCTAGATTTTGTATTGATTCTGAAAACAGAATTGGAAATAGTGGAGTAGAAGAAATAAAAAGTCATCCCTTTTTTGAAGGTGTAGACTGGGGGCACATAAGGTATGTTCCTAGGCTTTGAATGGAGAGACCCGAGTAAAAACAAGCTTTCAGATTTAGCAATGCATTTACCTCTGATTCTGCTAGATTATATTAGGTCAGCATTTTCTGGACTATCTGAATGGGAGTTTTAGTGGTTACAGCTAAGTAACTTTTTTTAGGCTAGTTCACTGAAATGCATGTAATGAAAAAACTGCATAGATTTTCATTTTTTTCTGCCAAAATAAACTCATACTTGAATTCCACCTTTCCATGAACTTTCTGGAGCCCCATCATCCTTTGTACCACCTACTTGTTAAATGACTTCTGATTTATGAAGTCTCTACTGGAAAAATTCTGTTCCTAAATCAACTGGATAGGATCCAGGCCTCACATACTTTATATACTTACATAACAGTTTAAATAAAGTCTGTTTTACTTTTCCTCTCTTTAGCATTTGCTTTCCCATTAAAAAAATAGTATGAGAAGGTCTTGGTACAAAGATACAAAAATTCCAGGTAAATAAAAATATGTTAATAGAAAATTATAGTCAACTATTTTGAAATTCACTTAACAATTCTGAAATCCACAGTAAGTTCCCTTAGCTTTTCTAATATATATAAAATAGCATGCAGAACTTAGAAGTAGAATTATTTGTTGGAAAATTAAGAGTACAAAAAAATTTACCATGGCTATTAATACCTTCTTACAGGGAAAGGCCAGCGGCAATTCCTATAGAAATCAAAAGCATTGATGATACTTCAAATTTTGATGACTTCCCTGAATCTGATATTTTACAACCAGGTAAGACAATCTTTAACATAACTAATGCCCTTAAAAATCTATGAAGACTCCAGACAGCTAGATCCTACATGGCCAACTTCATTCAGTTCAAGCCCCAGACCTGGCAGCTCTAGAAACATACTGGGTGCATGTGCATACATGCCCAAAGTCCCAAAAGGGAGGAAAAATGGAGAAGGGGATTGTAGTGTGACCTTTCCCCATGGAGGGTGCTTTCTCATTTTCCCTCTCTTTCTCTCTCTAGCAAGTACATATTCCATCTGGTAAAATTTTAAAAAGTAAATGAAAAAGTATGAAGGACTGGTCTCAAGGTTGAGTGGTGAAAGGAACTATTGGGCCATCAGGAAAGTCATGACTTGGGACCAGCAGTTAGCGTAATGGCTGTGTCGCGGGAATCCCATGTAGTCGACTGTGGTTCAAGTCCTGGACCCAGTGGCTTAAACTCACGCCAGGCGCATGTGCATGCGTGCCCAAGATCCCGAGAGGAGAATGGAGGAGAAGGGATTGCGGCGTGGCCATCCCCCCTCGGGGGTGATTTCTCGCTTTTGTTTCTTTGTCTCTCTCTCTGTCTTTCTGGTGAGCGCACATGCCCAATAGCAAAAAACCTCTCAAAAAAAAGTCAGGACGTATTTTTGCATAGAAAAACACATCATGACTTTTCTGACAACCTAATAGACCTTACACAGCCAATGGCACAGTTCAAATCCTGGACCCAGCAGCTTGAAAACTATGCTGGGAATGTGTGTGTACCTGTTCCAGATCCCAGTAGGGTGGAGAACTGTAGGATAAGGGGTCGTGGCGTGCTCATGTCCTGCTGGGGGAGTGCTTTCTCTCTCTCCCTTCTTGCTCTCTCTAGCAAGTACATGCATGCATTGGCCAAAAAAAAAAGTCTATGAAGATGATGACATTTTACTAATGAAATTTGGTTTTGGTTAATTTTCTTTTTCTAGTGCCAAATACCACAGAACCAGACTACAAATCCAAAGACTGGGTTTTTCTCAATTACACCTATAAAAGATTTGAAGGGTTGACTCAACGTGGCTCTATCCCCACCTACATGAAAGCTGGGAAATTATGAATGAAGGTGACATTCGCCCACAACCAAGAGAACTCAGGTAGCTGCATCAGCAGGCTTGCTTGGCTAGATAACAATACACTGAAATACTCCTGAAGACGGTGGTGCTCATTGACTACAAGAGGAAATTCTACAGGATTAGGATTTCTGAGACTACTACAGTAATTGGTTGGCAGTGCCAGCTGGCTTTTTTTTTTTTTTTTTTGAATATTTTATTATTTTTGTTAATTTTATTATATGAAGGTACTGGAATAAAAGGAGCGTACATCCCTTTCTAACTGCACTGCCTACATGCGTGTTAAGGTCCATTCTGCCTGTGTGTGCTGTGGCTTTGAACTGTAACACCTCTAATCAATTCAGGAGAAACACATATCAAATAAAGCAGCATAGGCTAACCTGTAGGGAACACTGCAGTATCGCTGTTTCACTGCAAATCTTATGGGTCTAGATCATCAGTAAAAGCCATCTTCCATAGTTGATGTTAGAACATTTGCCCTGTTGGTTTGGACACCTGTAGAATATATACAAAGACAATTTCTGTAATGGTTTTAAGAAATTAAAAAAGAAATACACTGGTTCTTTAAAAAATAGAGCTTTTTTTCAGTTATGACACAAACTCCACAGTAGGGAGTGACAAGTTGTTAATAAGGAAGAGGAAGTTGAACATCTTCACTCAAGCACTCCACTGATACATTTACTTTGCATTCAGAAATACTGATGACTTTTATAAATGTAGTCTGTATACTCATAGGGAGATGTACTGTATTATAGAAAATGTAAAGTTGCTTTTCTTGTGACAAGAGGACTTCTTTTTTAATGAGAGGACATGGCATTATTTTAATTTGATTACAGTGAGTTGAATTTATGAAATGACCATGAAGGCTGCTTGTAGAACTAGTGTATTTTTATTAAACTATTTTTTTAAATGTCAAACTTCTGATCATGTAAATGGACTTGTAGAGAACAAAGAACTATTTCCTTTGGTTTTCTAGGAAGTGTTACATATCATGACTAGTTAACTTTTATTTCTTTTGATGAAGATTTTTCCTTCGATAGCACTTGTATTATTGTGCCATTATTTTCTTATGCTCCAAATGTACCAAAGATCCTGAACTGAGTGGATGTTCACAGCTGAGTAGAATTTCACTTTCCTGTGGGAATGCTGTATTCAGACATGACAGATCTTTGATAGAGGGCAGCTTATTCTAAGGCAGGGTTGTTCATGTTTAGCTGCATCACTGTGGTTCATTCAGATGGAACTGAGGACGTAACTGCAGGCCCAGGGTTGTGATGAGCAGCTAGGAGAGAGAATATTAGCATCAAATTCTCTGGGTATTTTCCTAAGAATTAACCTTTCCTAGCTCAGTATTTTAATTCTACAACAACTGAGCTTTTGGTTCCCTAAGAACTAGTTGAGTCATAATATTTCAGCAAAGAATGGCCTAATGTTTGTGTTGTTTATGGACAGAATTTTTTTTTAAAAAAGATACAACAATTATAACCATTACAAATGACCTGTTATCATAATCTAAAGTGATAATTTATTTGTAGGAACATCTTGCCTTATAGAGAAGAATTGCATTGGAGCATTATTCAAATCTACAAAAGCAGTTATAAATGCTGCTGCTCGGTAGCTCCACAATGTTTCCATAAGGCCATTGGGTCCCCACCACCACCAGCCTACTCCCTAACTCTTACTCTGTCTGTTTCTTTTATCGCTGAATACTTGCAATGTGTTCATCTAGTAGTTCATCTCCATTTTTCTAGACTGGATCATGTGACCAGGTCTTGAAGGGAGAGAGCTATTAAAACGCTGGGGTTATCTCAATTTGACTAACTCTGACTTTTCTAATTATAACTGCCTTTAATTTAAAAAGAAAAAAAAAAAGACTTTAACTTCTTCTGGGGTTTATGAGATTTTCCCACCCCATCTCACTCCGTTTTTTTAACAGAGGACTGTTTTGTTAGTATTGTAATGAATAGGTCAGGCATGAGGAAACTACAACCTAGTACGGTGTCCAGTTCTAGTACAGAAGAAATTAATTCAGGCTGACTGAGGAGAGAGCAAGATTGATAAAAAAGGAGCTGATTTACCTACATTTACTTTTTAACTATGTAAAACTAAAGCATTTAGTTTCGATTTCCCTCATTCTTACTATCAGAAAGAACTTGGAAATAGTTACGATTTCTTGGCAGTGGAAGGGCAGTTCTGGAAAGTTCACTTTGTTTAGAGTCTCATTCTTCCCTGGAGTCAATAGAGTGATTCACAATCTTTGGGGTTTTCTCTTCATCAAAAGCATTTCTTAAGTGCCTATCTAAAAGCAATTAAAGACTGTGTCTGCCCTTTAGAAGTTAAGAATTTGATTCATAATGCAAATTAGGTAATTTGCAAAGTACCCTTGAGACTGAATTTTCTCTATTATACACTTCCCATAGTTCAGGTGAATCATTTAACTTAAATGACAAGACCCTATCTAATCAACTGGGCATAATGACATTTTCTTTAAATTAGACTCTATTTTGAATTAAAAGAGTTTTATTATAAAACTGTGTGTATTTTGGTTTTTCTAAGTATATAGAAAGCTTGTATAATTCAGATTTATTGATTTCCTGATTTAATGTAGACTTTGACTTTTTTTATTAAAAATCATTTGTATTAAAGCAAGTTATTTTTCTTTTATGCATTTGTTATTTTCATAGCTTTAAATCTTTAAATGTATTAAATTATTGTGCTATTTGATAGTAAGGAATTGCTTATAAATCAGTCACTTCCGAGTGGAACATCTAGCTTATTTAATAAGCTAACTAGTTGAATGGAAGATAACAAATGTGGAATATTAAAATGTTCTTTGGTTGCTAAGGCTTAAGGTAGGATTTTATTCATTTCTATAATAGCATACTTTTCCTGTTTTGGTTTTGTTTTTATTTAACCACCTGCATATCTTTATGGAAATCTGTAAATTTCAAAATATTTTTAAGTACATTTATTTGGGTGGTTTACTGTAGAAAACCTTGAGACAATCAGTCAGTAATCTCTACTGGAAGGAGAAACAGCTGTCTGTCTTTTGCTGATTCACCTATAGAAGAATTGGGATTTGAATCAGTAGAGGTCCCCGGCTACTAAACACCTTCTCTCTTTGAATTGTGAAAATTCAGAACGTCAAAATGTCTGTTTCACTGCAACCATGATTATTTCTCTTTGTCTTTATTTAAATTTTATTTTCTCTTTAGAAGTGCACTTATTTCTGAAAAATCTTAATGAAATAAACACTTAGAACAAATACAAGACACTTAGGACTATTAAAGATATTTTAGATTTTTATGAAAAAAAAATGGGGTTATTGCTGCTTTCAAAGGAATAAAGGAATAAAAATATATCTTAGTTATTTTTTTTAAATAGCAATATAATCCAGCAATTGTCTAGAAAAATAATCATCAGGCTACTGAATTTGGTGTCCAGTTACTGAGTTTCAAAAAATGTTTTGGTGGCATGAGGGATTTTTTCATTGAAGGTAAGACAAGAATAAAAACTATGTTTACAAAATTTCTGTTGGTGAGGTTTCTTTGGTTTTATTTTTGAGTTTTGAGATAGAGGTTATCCAGAACTCAAGAGTGTCTATTTTGTAAGTGTAAATAACTGAGGAAGTCTTACATTTGAAGATCACACTGAGGATAAAAGAAATGTTTGCAGTTTCAGTTATATTACGTGTACACAATCAAGATTGTTGAACAGGTTTATACTTAAAATCGCCATTCAAATCTGTAGCTAAAAGCACGGCTACACAAATTACAGTTTTAGGTACTTGCAGGGTATACAGCTTATATACAAAGGGCTTTTTAAAAGTTCATGGAAAGTATATTATTAAAAAGCCTTGCTTGGATTTCAAAATATTTTTGTACCAAAATGAAACAAACTTTTTAAAGTACCTTTTTACAGCTACCCTACTAGGTCAGAAACAATTAGCAACTAGTAAATTGGCAGGGTGGTTCCAACCCCTGACCTGGAGGGCTTGAGAAACATACCGGGCATGTGGAGAAATGGAAGAGAGGGCACTGGGGTCTGGCCATTCCCTGTTGGGTGGGTGCCTTCTCAGTTTCCCTTTCTCTGTCTTTCTTGAATGAAATGCTTATGTCTCCTTAAAAATAAATAAATAAATAAATAAATACCCCTCAAAATAGCATAGAAAAATAAGTGGCCTAGATTCTGCCCCACCTGTCCCATTGAAGACATGACAACTAATCATGATACTTTTCCCAGTGGACCCAGAGGGAGCCACTGAGCATCTTGTTCATTCTCATTGTGAGCCGGCTGTGCCGTAACACACTCACTTCAGTAATGCTGCTGAGAGACTAGTGAAAACACCAAATATTTGTATTTGGCCATTAGAGCAAACTAGAGTCCCTAATCTCAGGATCCTCTAGTGATACAAAGATCTACATTTGAATACCAAATACATTATTCATTTTGTTCTGTTTTTTAAAGGTTTTTGTGAGACACAGGCAAAGTGAGAAATTCCCCTCCTCGGGGGATGGCCACACCACAATCCCCTCTCCTTTCTCCCCCTGGGATTCTGGACACACACACACACACACACACACACACACACACACCCCTCACATGAGTTCTAAGCCTCCAGGTCTCTGACTCAAACCACAGTTGGCCATGTCGGAGCCCAGCATCTTAACCACTATGCCATCTGCTGGCCCCTTCATTTTGCTTTTTACAACTAAGTAAACATAATTACCATCATTTTATAGGTGATGAACATGAGGCTGGTTGTGACCCAAAACACAGGTCATAAATTGTATGAGCCCAAGTCCAGTGGTCCTTCTGCTCTCTCAAATCACAGAGCATGCTTCTCCTGCCAGTTACCACATAAGCTTCTAGGCTCTCCCGAGGTGATGATCTCATGAGGTGATGAGACATAGTGGTTTGGGTTCTCTCATGCATTGTGCTCACTCTCATAAATAAAATAAGCTTTTTCAAAAATAAGGAAAATTAGTATCTCATGTAATACCAAGACTCAAGGTAGAAAGCTTCCAGGAGAATCAATCTAACTTCTCAGAAATATCAAGGACATAGGGTTTTTCAACTTTTCTACTCTGTCGTCCTTACAGTGTTAACTTTAACTTTATTTTTAAATTTATTTATTCATTTTAATTTTGATCAGAGAGGGACAGAGAAAGAGAAAATGAGAAAGTAAGCCACCCTGTCTGAGACTCAAACAGCAGTGGGCCATGTGGGAGTCCAGTGCCCTTAACCATTATGCCACCTGCTGGCTCCAGGAGAAATTACATGTGAGACCCCACTCTTTTTTTTTTTTTGAGTAAGAAAAAAATATTTTATTTCCCTGTTAACACTAAACCATATTATTCAAAATGTATTTCAAAATACTTAGCCAGAAAAAAATAAAAATACTTAGCCAGGTCACCAATCCCAGTCACTACCTTAGTTCCAAAGTTCACTAAGAAAATAGTCAACCAGCAGAAATCTATTGTTAGATACTGTCTAGAAAGAACAGCTACATTGTCATATGTATTAACTTAGTAGTCATTTTTTAAGAATAAGGAAAATCTTTCCCAGAAGCATTCTAAGCAAGGCATCTCTCACTTTTTTTTTTTTTTTGGAGAAGTTTTTGCTAAGGGCACGTGTGCTCGCCAGACAGAGACAGAGAGACAGAAAGCGAGAAATCACCCCCCAGGGGAGATGGCCACACCGCAATCCCTTCTCCTCCATTCTCCTCTCAGGATCTTGGGCATGCATGCACACACGCCCAGCGTGAGTTTTAAGCCACCGGGTCCAGGACACGAACCGTGGTTGACTACGTGGGAGTTCAGTGACATAGCCATTACGCTAACTGCTGGTCCCCATCTCTCACATCTTATCGGCCATCATTGTACATCCAACCATTCCTAAACTAGTATTAATAGTTGGGCTGGTGACTGACTTAAAACTAATCAAGCATCGGGACCAGCAGATGGCGTAATGGTTCTGTTGCTGGACTCCCACGAGTCTGAGGTTCAAGTCCCAGACCCAATTACTTAAAAACGCAACCTGGTACATGTGCGTGTATGTGTCCATCCTCAAAGAAGAATGGAGGAGAAGGAATTGCAGTGTGGCCAGGTCCCCTGAGGGATGATTTCTTGCTTTCTATCTCTCTGTCTCTCCAGTGAGCACACACACCCAAAACCAAAAATCTCTCTTAAGAATAAAAATTCATCAAGCGTCACACCTATTACTGGGGTGGGTGCTACCTAAAGCATGTGGCCTGCTGATAACAGAACAAAATGAGGGTTCTTTTGACAAGTTAGAAGGTGATCAGCAG